CTTCGACGATATATCAGTCTTCAACGAAAACAAAATGGGGGTGGCTCTCGAGTACTGCAATTAAATGACAAGCGGAATATGTGTGTCAGCATGTCGATCTATAGGTGTGCTGAACATTCCTGGAACACTGGCGACAAAATAACATATATATATTTCTGCATGGGGTTTGTGTATGATAAAGAAGAGATTTTTCCCCCTTTTTTGCTCAATTTTTCTTCGCTCCTACAAAATGACCCCCCACCTGTATACGCATGCGAGATTATCTACAAATCAAAATATCTCATTCTCTCTCTCTCGCCATGGTCTCTCTCTCTCTAGGCTACTCAGGGGGGGGCGGCTCTCTTTTCTCTCTCTCTCTCTCTCTCTATCTTTCTTTCTATCGGAGCTGGCTCGCGCGCTCTCTCTCTCTCTCCCTCTCTCTCGCTCTCTGTCTCTCATTCACTCTCTCTCTCTCTCTCTCTCTCTCTCTCTCTGTCGGACTCTCCACCCCCCCCCCTCTCTCTCTCTCTCTCTCTCTCTCTTGCTCTCTCACTCACTCACTCTCTGTCTCTCTCTCCTCCCTTATCTCCATCTATCACCCTCACCTCACCCCCTCCCTCTCATCTCCCCAGGAGGGACTGGCGGAGAAGTTCAAGGTGGAAGGCATCCCTGCTCTCATTTTCTTGGACCCAAAGACCGGTGAGGTCAAGTCGATGGGCGGTAGAGCGTTAGTGGAGGATGACAAGGAAGGAGCTAAATTCCCCTGGGTGTGAGGAGAGGGGAGCACCACGGAGGAGCTCTCGCGATGCCGCCTTAGCCGACAACGTGGAGGAGCCAATAATCATGGCATTTTTACATCATGCATCATTTCCAGCATATTTTTCTACTGGGATCAACCCTGGTCCGCTCAATGGGGGTCTGGAAGGCCACAACATTCCTTTATTTTGTAGGTTACAGGGTTAGGGTTAGAGTTACGGTTAGAGTTTCAGTGCTATCAGAATTCTTAAATATCATTCAGTTTCCGAGCCTTTGAGCTCACAAAAGTTGGAAGAAGCGCCATTGGTAGACAATGTCTGCTATCAGGTTTCGATCCTAGCAGTGTGCTGATATAAATTAATATCTATTCTTATTTTTCATTGGCTCCGTCGGGGCAGAAAGAGATAACGACATAGATCTAGAACAAAGCAATAATAATATATAGGCCTATTATAAGCTACTCCTCCCTGCTGATGAGCCGCTAGGAGGACGGTTCCAGGCACTGTGACACTGAACATTGTGACGAAGATGCCCTCCTCTCTGTGCTGCTTGTTGATGGTGGGATCTCTTATAAAAATGTGAGGAAATGACGGGTGAAGATTGGAGGCTATGAAAAAAAGTATGTTTCTCGCTTTATGTTTTTTAACGGCTTGATTAATTTTTTAGGAATTGATATTGAAGGTATATGTACATGTATCTATCTAGGCCTTGTGAGTGTGCATGTGTATATTAAGTGCATGCGTGTGTGTGTGAGTGTGTGTGTGTATGTGTGTGTGTGTGTGTGTGTGTGTGTGTGTGTGTGTGTGTGTGTGTGTGAGTGTGTGTTTGTTTGTTTGAGTGTGTGTGTTTGTTTGTTTGAGTGTGTGCGCGTGTGCGCGCGTTTGTGTGTGTATATTTGTTTACTAGTACATCTGTGTGTGAATGGTTGTATGTATAAGGGTGTGTATACACGGGCCAGTTCCTGGAGCGCTCAGATACTCGAACGAATCGTTGAAACAGTGGCGACATTCTCACCGGAATGTCATGCCCTGTAAAGGTCAGCGAGTAAGTGCCAGCTTCCTGGATCAAAACTGGCCTGATTGTCGGCAAGTAAAAAAAATAAACTAATGCCCCAACCCTGCCTCACCACCCTTTCTCCCTCCCTCTTCCTTCTCTCTCTCTCTCTCTCTCTCTCTCTCTCTCTCTCTCTCTCTCTCTCTCTCTCTCTCTCTCTCTCTCCCTCCCTCTCTCTCTCTCTGTGCGCGCGCGCCGCATGTGTGTGTGTGTGTGTGTGTGTGTGTGTGTGTGTGTGTGTCTGTGTGTGTGTGCAGGGTGGAAAGCGGCCAGTCACCCAGAGTTATCTCTACATTGTGTCGAGAAGGGCTTAAAACATTTCTAAAACAAGAGACAGCACCAGACTGCCTACCTACTACTGAGTTTGAAAAAAAAATGTATTTTAAATATTACAGCAAAGTGACCGTAAATATTTGAAACAATTTATACTCATTACGGCAGGAACGGTACAGACAATAGTTGGAGAGATCCGAGCAGAAAAGAAGTCTTTCATCTGTTAGCTGAAGTCAGACGGCCTCCACGATACTAGATATATAGTTGTTGTTTTTTTTACGCTAAGTGTCGTCGACACAAGATCATTTACAAGGCGTGTTTCAACCCGTCAGGGCAACCCTGGGATATTTTCTTTGTTAAGTAAGGTTTTATAGTGCTCGCAACTGCATAAGGACATATGAGCGCCATGGGGTGGATGTCAACAGAGAAGTCCAAACCAAAGGAATCAGGCTTTTTCTTTTTTCTCACCTCTCTACGCCTCAACTGCACAATGTCTGCTTTTCGATTATAAGGGTACCCCGGGAAGCAGTTCACATGAGAGTTACAAAAACAAAAAAAAGGTGGAGAAAGGAAAAAAAATGACGATAGCAAGGATGAGAAAAGAAAAAAATCAAGCAGTTCTCCATAATGATGATTCTGGCCACAGTATGAGGGATGGACAGTTGAATAAACGAGCCCC